GGAAGGACCGACCTCGGGCTCTGATCTGAGCCTGCCTGCTCTGGGTCCCTTGCTCCTAGCTGCCCCGTCTGCCCCGTGGGATTGTGGTGAGCAGCAAAAAGCTACCCTTGCAGTTCCTGGCACAGAGTCCAGATTCCTGCCATGGTAACTGTGTCTATCAAACAATGGCCATTGGATTTCAGGTTTGGGAGGAAAGCATTGCTCAAGAGAAAAACAGAGGGAAGGAAGCATTAGAAGATGAACAGAAAAGAGTCCAAGAGCTGGAGAGTCGCTTAACCTGCCAGAAGGAGGTATGCAGGGGGCGGGGGGGGGGTGGGGAAGCGGGCTCAAGCCCAAACCTGGCTTGAGGGCCACGTGGCAGTGAGTTCCAAGCCACAGGTGATGGGGGTAGAGCATGACAGAGCTTTCCTACAGCGATCAGTCCTTGGGAGGGCTCTGCTACCCCGGGACGCTTGGGAGCTCAGGGAGAGAGCTCTGGAGTTGTAACCTTGACAGCCTGTCAGAAAAATTGTAAACAGCACAAAATACAGTCACAGAGAGGACTTGGGAGACAAGTTGGGGCTGGTGACCTGAACATCTTCGGCCTAGAGATTATGTCCCAAAGCATAGATGTGGAGAAGGTACAGAGTCCCGGGACTTCAGGGCTGTGTCAGTCCTCCAACGACATCCTAAAATCATCCAGCCTTCAGCTCCACCATTAAGGAATTTTCGACAGGCCAGGCAGTCCGTCCCAGTGGTGATGCCTTCGGCTGGCAGAAAATTCTTCCTTTTGGTTAAGTGCCTCAAACTCATTCTCCCAGAAGAGCATCACTGGCTCCTGTAAGACCTGTCCCCCTCCTCGTCCACATAATAACCTTTCAGCTGCTTGGAAATAGAGACATCTGCTCCTCTCCAGACCCGAATGCCCTTGTGTCTCCTTACGTGCATCCCAGGGTTGGAGCCTGGCCTTGGTCCCCTCCCCTGACCTGTCCTGTTGTCCAGAAGTCACAGATTGGCTGCTCACTGGCTGGAAAGGGCGTGTGGACATGTTAACGTTTGGCCCCAGAGTGTTTTATTTTGAATTCATAAAATATACTTAAAAATCCAGATTTCCAGGCACCCGGGTGTCTCAGTGGTTACGCGTCGAACTCTTGATCTCAGCTCAGGGCATGATCTCGTGGTTCATGAGATCGAGCCCCGCATCAGGCTCTGTGCTGACAGTGCGGAGCCTGCTTGGGATTCTCTCTCTCCCTCCCTCTGCGCCCCACTCCCACTCGTGTGCATGCCCTTTCTCTCCCTCAAAAATAAACAAACATTTTAAAAAATCCAGATTTCCTTCCTCTCCTGAAGAGTCAGTCGACCTGGCCCCATTTCCACTTGGTGGAACTGGATGGGAGCTCAGCCAAGTAGCAGTGATTTCCCACAGCCCTCACCACACCCTGTTGTGGTAAACGCAGCCCGCTTTAGTGCCAGTACCTGTCTGGCCTCTGTAGATGTCTGAGTTTGCAACCCATGGGCTGTTTTCTTCCCAAACCGGACCCAGTTCTCTGGCCGTGGTGGCCCAGGCCAGGACTCTGCTCCCTCCTTGAAGACGTCATACCTGTACTGACGTTCCCACACCAGCTTTGGGGCAAGCGCCGTTACATTGTCGACACGGGTTTATCTTGGGGTCACCCTTGGACCGCGAGGTCTCTTTCACGCACTGCTCTCGTCAACTCTTCAGTCGTGAAGCGGCACAGAGGCCTTGCAGCCAGACGAGACACAGGTTCGAATCCCGGCTGGACGACTTACTGGCCACAGAGGTCTCAGTACCTCCCTTCTTTTAAACGGTGGCCGTGAGGCGTTGGCGGTCACGTGCAGCGAGGTGTTGGACCCAGAATTGCTGCTCAGTAAACGTCGCCGTGATCACCACTCGTGTACCTTGTCCAGGCACTTCTTCCCCATCAAGCCCCTCCCTACCCTCACTCCTCAGAGGAAAGTCCTCGCCCACCCGCCGCGGGAGGCATAAGGTCAATCTGATCTGATCCAAGGAGGGAAGATGTTTATGTCCCAGGTCTCCTGCACAGCCGTGCTCTGCTGCCCCAGGTAAACAGTGTCACTGAGGCCTGGCCCTGAGTTATCTCTCCAGGGACAGTGACAAGGAGCAGAAACTCCTGAGGGTTCCCTGGGGCCAAATGCCACCAAGAGGTCAACGGCTCAGCTCAAGACCCTGGAGGAGGCCCTTGAATTTAGAGATGTTGAGGTCATAGGGGACTTCAGGAGAGATATTTAAGGAAGCGCGATGAGGTCAGCCTCACAGCGGGGAGGAGCCTCACCCCAGGCCCAGGCGAACGTCGGCCCACCTCTCCTGACAGAACCTCTCGGCAGATTCTCTCTTTCTTTTCTTTTTTTTTCCTCTGGGGTTTCTTGACGCAGAGTCTGAGATAAAAGTCCCAGACACAGACTCCAACCAACCTCAAACTGGTATTCGGTTTTTCTTTTTATTAGACCTGCTGCCACATTTCCAGATGAATCTTTAAGGACAGCAGAATGCTAGTTCATGATGGGGGTTTTGAGGTCACCGCTAGAGGTTAACTCCCATCACCTGCCCAGGAACTTGGGAGCAAAGCGGCTGAGGGGGACAGAGCCCGTGTGTGTGAGTCACGCAAGGGACAATCTTCTTCTCCTTCAAAGGAGCTGCCGGGAGGAAGGTCGGTCCTGAGTGTAGTTGTGAGATCAGAGGCCGTGGAACCGACTCGAAGTCCCTGGGAAGTGGCCTCGAGTCTCTTTCACAAATTACAGGAAAATGTCTTACCGGAATCCCACCTCACACGTTCAAAATCCACGACGTTACTGCTTTTCTGCTTCATTTAGGTGCTATGGGAACAGCTGAGCGTTGGGATTTCTTAAGCGGCTTTTCACTGCAAAATATATAGTATTTCAGCCACGTTACGGCTTAAAAACGCCACGCAGGCTGACCTGGGACCCTGACCACTGGTTATATAACGGAAACCAGGTTCCGAGTTCCAGACGTCTTGCAGCCAAGCTGATGCTTATGACTCAACCCCGTTGAAAGTTGAGGTGCCCTTTCTGGCAGTGACTGGAAACAGGGGCCTCGCCACTAATCCGTATCTTTGTGATTTGCATGAGGCCATTTAACTGAATAGCTTATCAGCAAATAACTTCCTAAATAAAATTCCGCGAGCACGAGCATCTAACCACACTCTCTTCCCTCCGTCCTCTTAGAGCGTCACTTGTGAGGTTCACCCCCGCCCGCCCCTTCCAGAAATTGGTCTGTTGTGGCTCATGAATGTGGGACACCGCCCTCATCCTGAGGCCTGATTCTCTTTAAGAGATTTATTTCAATGATAGGAAATCCATTATTAATGAGCTTCTCCTTCTTATCGGAGAGACTGCCTGGCACAGGGACGAGAGCTCAGACTCCAAAATAAGACGGGGGCGCCTGGGTGGCTCCGTTAGTTACGTGTCTGACCTCTTGGTTTCGGCTCAGGTCATGATCTCCTGGTTTCGTGGGTTCAAGCCCCACGTCAGGCTCTGCCTGGAGCCTGCTTGGGATTCTCCGTCTCCTCTCTCTCTGCCCCTCCCCACTTGCGCTGTCTCTGTCTCCCTCAAAATAAAGAAA